ATCTACCATTTTTGCATCACTTTTAAAGATGGGTAAATTTATATTAAAGTCTCTTTTGTTTGGGTAAAGTTGTGAGATACAGAAATGTGGCAAACGAAGGCGAGGTGGAGGATTGGTGGAAGGCAACAGGGTGAACGTTTTCTCCGGGCCAGAGCACACCAAAGACCTGTCACTCGTGACTACTTAGTAGAGGAGAGATTGCACGGAATCGACACTACCACCTACACACTGCTGGTGAAGGGTTGATGCTCTTAGAAAACACACTCAAAATGTGTGTTCCGCCCTACAGCAGTGGGTTAAGGCAACTCCATTTAAACCTCGTGTGATATCATCTCCTGCACCCTCACTCCTATTCAAGTAAACAAAAATTCCAAAGTTAAGGCAACTCCAACATTTTTAAACCTAAAAAATAGTATTTTCCTTATTCAATCGGTATTTGGTGTCTTTTTTTGTGTACTCACTTTGTGAGAGACACTTCTGCTCTCGTCCCTTGCTGACGAGTCGAAATTTTGTGTACCTTTTGGCATTAACTGTGCAAGAAGAAGAGAGGAGAGGAAAAAAATTTTATTTAAAAAAGCAAAGATCTTTTCAAGTACTGAGACGATTGCCTGTCTCAAATCGCCCTCTTTCATGCAGCATGTTGGCGAACACATCGGTGTGTCCGTTGGACACAAACAACACGTTTGACAATAAACTTCTTGTCGGTGTTTGCTCACCCCTCCTCCAACCCCTCCCCCCCCCTCAACCTCCCCTCTAAGAGAGAATGAAAAGGACTAAAATGATTTTAAAAAAACTTTCAATTAAGTTAAATTATTTTATATTTAATCGGTGTTTAGATTAACATTATCAACTTTACAACCAGTTGGAGTGATGGATTGGCGATGTGCGCCCTTCTGCATCGTCATCGTCCTCAACTCCTTGATTTTGCCACCCTCGCATCGACATCAACGTCACCGATCAAGCGCCTTGCAAAGGCCTTCACGTTGGCCAAAGCGGCCTTTCAAATACCCACAATTATCAATCCAGCTGACTTTATTGCTTGTTGTAATGATGAGCAATGTGTGGTGACTGTGGTCGCCACTTGGTACTATCGGTTAAACGAGGCGAGAGGCTTTAAGAAGTCGGTGTCTCGTCTAGCCGCAGTACTCGACAGAGCAGTGGCCTCGAGTCGACGAATGATGGAATACGTGTTGAAGGTGACTGCTCTTCGACGATGGATGAAAACCAATTTGCGTTATCTTGAAGACTTGACCAATGGCATAGACACCCACCAAATCTCCACCAAGCTTACTATGTGGCGTGAAAGTGAGAAAAAGGCGAAAATGAAGGATCTGGCACAAATTGAGGTGACGTTTTAAGTATTTTGCACTTTCTATTCAAAAGGTCGTGAGCACGAAACCTCCTTTAAGTGCAAGGGAATTATTATTTGCTTTTCCAAAGGCTCTTTTGTCAATCATAGTGCCTAATTGAGGAAAAAAGAAGTGTGTAAAAGGCTGTTAGAAAGTTATAAAAGTAATACATCCACTTTATTTGTTATGAGCTACAGCTACTTATAAGGCTAATAAGTAGTATCAACCAAACTTTGACTAAAATCGCTCCGATTTTCGCCCTTAAATGCTTTTTAACAATGCTTGTCCCCTAAAAAAAGTAGAGGTGGTATTTTTTTGCTTTACAGTTCGAGTGGTTGTTGTTAAGGATGGAAAAAGTTGCATGGGGTTATTCTTCGCCCTCGCCAGCCCCACGATTTGCCTATCCAACAGTGTATAGAATCTGGAAACAAATTGATGAAGCCGAAATGGAATGCGTGAGACGAGTTTGTCGGGACTTTGAAGTGCAGGTAATGTTGGGGAGGCTCTATTGTCACATTTTGCCTCCACTCCTCTCGCCTTTTTCGCCTTGCCAATCATTTCTTTGTGACAGCAATTTTCAGCATTTTGGCAGAAACGTCGCCTTATAGAAAGTCAATTCTTTTAATTTTAGTCCCAAAAAAGGCAGTTGTTGGATAAATTTTACAAAAAAGTTAAACTTCATAAGCACTGGCTTCTTGAATGCAATCACATGGTTGAGTTGGCAGCTCAAAGGGATGCTCGAGGGGTTCAAAGTAGCCTTCAAACTAATCCCAAAGACGGCTATTTATCCGCTGCCGTGATTAATCATGAACGAGGTCTCGTTCAGAGGAGCGTGGAGAGGAATGCGCTTATGCGTGTCGATGCAGAGGTGCATCACAATCAAAAAATGCAACTCCTTCTTCACCTACATCCCACCGACCTCATTCTTCGTCAAATTCACAAACACTGGAACCTATTGACCGACACCTTCCATCGACGCGAAGAAGGTCTGTTGACTCAACTCAGGTGTCTTGATAGACTTCATGAATTGACAAGCCTGAGGGAGGAGATGGAAGCAATTTGGAGGCGCGTGTCCACCCTCCATCCCCCTGAAAGCAGCCTTCACCTTTGGAAGGCACGAGCCCTCATTGCAGCCGACAAAGTGGCTTCTCGACCAGTCGAGTGGACTTTCATTGACCAAACAAGGAATGAATGCATTTTTAGTCGGTGTTATTCCCAATTTTGGGCTGTTAATTGGACAGTCCAGTGTATTCTCCTTTGCTATCACAAATTCTTCGTCAAGGTTGAACACATTTCCAATCTTCAACGCAGAATTTGCAACTCCTTAGCCATCATCAAGGTAAGGCGATAAAGCCCACCTCGTCCTCATCAAAAACGAGGGGACAAAAGACAGCTTTTTTTGTTTCAAATTGTAGAATCAAAGGGAGAGGATTCGTCACCTCGCCGAGGTGATTGAACAGACGTCGAGTTGTGGGTTTACAAACGAATTTTTTGAAACTCTTGTCTCCATTCAAGG